ATATGGTTAAAGTAACTTGAGAAGAAGTGTCATCTACCTTCAAAACAAGTGTCAGCAACCATTTTGCAGTCATAAACATATTTTTTACCATTAAGGCACACAGAAAAAAGGGTTCTGATGGTTGCTTTAAGAATCAGTAAAGATAACTATTGGCTGCACTCTCTTGCTAGTTCCTCTAAATGTAAAGAAACACCAGCCACTTCAAAACCAAAGGTATTCAGAATTAACCAGCGCTCTGCTGAGATTAAAATATTTTGAATGCATATTAACTGTGCATTAGTAATGATATCCACAAATGAGCCATCCCCGATACCTACAGCCAATTGCAGAGAGATACATAAAATTTTAATAAGGGTAACAACCATTCTGAGCGCTTTGTCTGTTAAGAACTTTTAGATGATGGGAAGAATCAGGTCCAGATTGCAATTGATTGTATAGTTCAAAGTCTAAGATCCAGACTTATTGAGACTTTGACAATTCCAGATTTGGGATTTTTCAGGATATTTAGATCATCGGTTCAATGGTGACAAGTAGAAATTATGAAATAAAAAAGGCAAAATAATGAAGCATTTATGCTAAAGGGAAAAAAAGAAAAAGAAAGCTCTCTTTGTTTACTTTAATAAACATCTCTTTCAGTGGAAGTTTTTAAATTTGCTTCATTTTTTGTGTTAATACTTTCTCTCCAATTTCTATAGATGAACATTATTTCATGCTCAGTTACAAAGGTCCATTTTTCAAGTCCTGTATCTGCTGCTTTGAAAATTCCCACTAAATTTTCAGCTGAAACTTTTTCATTCTCAACAACCTCTATATCACTTTCTTCATTATTGGGAGTGATATTTTCTGAATTTAGAACTGTACTACAAATTTTGCCATTCATAGTAAATTGACTATTTTGGCATTGTCATCTCATTCAAAACCTCTGGTATATCATCTTCATTTATTACTACTTCTCCATATTTCTTCTCAGATTCCATTAATTGGAAATTTTTTTTTTTGGGGGGGGAATATCTAAAAACCTTCAAAGCTTAGGTAGCATCTGCTATATCCTGTAGGTGATGTGTCGTGAGATTAGCGACTAAGGATATGTTGTTCTGCTGAATTTTGTCTTGCTTCTCTCACATTTTTAAGTTAAGTCTGAATTATATTATTTATTATACTTGCGACTATTTTCCACACATGCTTGAGGCTTATCTGCGTCTGAATAGAGAAATTCCCACATGTACTTAAGGCTTATCCAGGACCATTGCTAGACATTTTGTGGCCTGGTGTAGCCTCTGTGCGCTCTCCTGCCAAGTGCTTCCTTAAATTCTAAAAATTTTTATTTCCCTAAATTCTGTCACTTGATGCAACTACACTGGCTGTGGCACCAGTCCGGGGCTTATATGAATAACAAATTAATTATTCTCAATTCAAACAGGATTAAATCTTTTGGCATATGTATATCATTTACAAAATCTATTTTTTGCATATAGAAAGAAATTTCTGTTAAATTTCTCCTCGTTAACATATCTGAAGTCTGTGATCATTGCCAAACATAATGTAATCATAAAAAGTTACCATGCTCTTTAGTATTCAATTATTAATATTAAAAATAAAAAATTGTTTCAGCATTGCTGTGTGAGTCTTTTTTTTTTCAAGCTGCAGTGTGTTGATAGTAATGTGATGAAATAAAAAAAAAATAATAATGATTTGGAAGGTTTGTATGTGTGGCAGAGTAAAATTAAGAATCAGGACTCTTTACACTTTTTATTATGAAAAAATATAAAATGTGCAAGTGTAAAGCATAAAAACAGTTTAAAAAAAGTTGTTGGTTATCTGGAGGTTTGGATTTTAGACCATTCAGATATTGGATATCCAGATTTCGAATTTTTTATTGTATGCATATGTCGATGGTAGATAGTTGGTTTAAACACAGAACTTCTATCACGGACAGGCATTTCAACTTTGACTGTTAATTCATTTGTCAAGTCAAAAAAAAAAATTTTTTTTTCAAGTTTTTAATCTAAGTTGAGCAAGGTTCGTATGTTGGTCAAAAATTTCACATCTTAGAAGTTTTTCAAATAATTTCAAACCAAATTTTTGCCTTCAGTTTAACCAGTAGGTCAAACTAGACTAAAGTTGCGTAGCTTTGATTGGGATGAAATGAGCTGTGATTATGCTAAAAGCATTGTTTTGAACAATTTCCAATTTTTTATGGATGCTGTCAGCAGTGGTATAACTAAGAGGGCAAGAGGGACATCTATACCCAGGCAGAGCAGATTCAGGGGGTATCAGATTGATGAAACAAAATTTTAGAACAAAATGTTTTCTATTTTTGGCCAGCAGGAGAGGGTATAAAATCTTCAGTTTTTTTTTGGGCACTGAAAACTATGGTTCTCGTCTTCAGATGTGCTAACAGCGCAGCTCCATATTCAGTAGCAGGTCAGATGTAGGTCTTAAAGATGGTATAAAGTAAATTGTTTGAAATATCAAATTTCACCTTTGCTAGTCTATTTAACAATTTATTTCCTGAAGTACCAGTTCCTGCAGCCTTAGAAGAATACCCACTCCAATTTAATCTTGAATTCAAAATGGTTCTAAAGTACTTAGCATTTTCAACTTTACTGAATTGATGTAGGTTATATAGAAGTGGAACAACTTCAGGTTTTATACTCAAGGTAAAAACCTGATAATCAGGCTTTTTGATATTTATAGTAATTTTATTTTTATTACTATATATTTATAGTCATTTCATTTTGTCTTGACTAGAATGAAGGACTGTCTCAGACCTTATAAAGGGAGTCCTGTTTTTTTTTTTTTTATTTTTTTAAGTATTACTGCACCATATGCCAGATCAGTGAGCAGACGAGCTGTGAAGTACGGCTATATTTATGTTTATAAAACCCGCACTTTATTGTTAGTAAATTAAGCTGGACCAGATAGTGCCTGAGAATCCAGATACTGAGCCACGAGGGCTTTGTTAAGTGGTCTTAAATCTAGGCAAATTTCTTGCTTCCCATACTAAGCCCCAGTTAGTCGTTAGTATTTTTTTTAAAGACATGGGACTAAAATTGGGGGGTCTTACAAGGGAATTTGGGTTTTTTTACTATATATTTATAGTCATTTCATTTTGTCTTGACTAGAATGAAGGACTGTCTCAGACCTTATAAAGGGAGTCCTGTTTTTTTTATTTTTTATTTTTTTAAGTATTACGATGCACCATAGTGCCAGATCATTTGTGAGCAGACGAGGCTCTGCTATATTATTATGTTTATAATACTTTCAGCCACAGTGATCAAGATTAAGTTTTATATTAAGTTAATATTATTGTTTAAAAGGAGATATTGAGCCTCCGAACTGGCTTTGTTAAGTGGTCGAGTAAATCAGGTTGCTTGTTCCACACTACTATTTTAAACCCACTTTCCTGTCTGGTGGTGTATTTAATTATGGCAAGCACACTAGGGCTATCTGCCTAAGAGGAGGGATGCCTTTCGTGGAAGACTTTCTAAGGGAAACTGGCTCGTATACACGTTACTGGGGAAAACCAAAAAAACACCCATGCAGCCAGCCCGTTCGCGGGATTCGAACCTCGGACCGAACTACCAGTGTTCAGCGACTTTACCGCTCGGCTGCTGGTGGGCCCCTTTCCTGTCTGAAGTTCAGTAATTTCTCTCCAGATGGGGAGGAGGGAGACTATGATGCAAAGAATAGAAATCTGCAAGACTGAGACCTATATTTAGGCAGACTCCAAACACATCATCACTTCCACATAGAGGTAAAATTGTAGTAGTGCCCCCCCCTCTTTTTTTTTCATTTCATTAAATCTACGCAGAATATTTGCATTCCTTAAAACTCAAACAGGTAAAGTGATATTGATTTCATGCAAGATAGTGATACATTGGTACTTTCTTATTAAAGTATGAATCATGTTTTATGACCAAAATTAGCAAGCTTAATTGCCATATTCATTACATTTAGAATTTAAATTGCACCAAAAGCTTATGTGGCTGCTGCTGTGTAATGAAAAAAACACTGGTTTCTTTGTTATTTTCTGTTGATAATTGTTTAACATAAATAGTGCAGTTATTGAATTTGAGTTAAAATAGCATGCTGAGTAACTATTATTGGAGGAGTTAAAGCAACAAGAATCAGCATAATATTCATAAATTTGCAGGACTAATTTCTAGAACCTTCTTCGTCAGCTTCAGAACTGTGAAGGAGAAAATGCTGGTTTAAAATGGTAGGGAAAAAAAATTAAAGTTTGTCTGGAGCTAATCAAATACGAGTTGAAATAGCACGTTGAATAAAAATTATTAGAGGCATTGAAGCAAGAAGAATTAGCATAATATTCGTAAACAAGCTTGAATTTTTTTGTTACTGTTTTCCATGTGGTGTGTGCTCACCATTTTGGGCCAGCATTTTCTCCTTCATACTTCTGCAACTGAAGAAAAAGGTTCTATATTTAAACATTCAAAACTAATCCTGCAAATTTATAAATGCTGTGCTGATTTGTTTTGCTTTAACTCCTCCAATAATTATTATTTGGCATGTGAACTCAAATTTGATTAACTTCAAATAAGTTTTTTTTTTTTTTTTTTTTTTTTTTTTTTGCTATCATTTTCCACATGGTCTGCTCAACATTTTGTATGAGCATTTTTCCTTTGCACTTCTGCAGCTGAAGAAGGAGGTTCTGTATTTAAACCTCCGAAACTAGTTCTGTAAATTTGTGAATATTAGGCAGATTCTTGTTGTTTTAATTCCTCCAATAAGTGCAATTATTGTTTAAACAAAAGTAAGTAAATATATTTAAAGCAAAGATAATTTGAAGAATCTTAAATTGGTCTTTTTCGTTTGGAATGAATGTTTTCTTAAATACGGTGCTAAGTGCTCTGGAATTATTATTATGTAATGTTTTCCACACCACTGTAGATTTTGTAATAATTTTAAGATTTCTTTTTTTAATTCTGAATTTCATCTGTTTAATTTGATTTCTTATGAAGTGTGTTTCTTATTTTAGGGTGTTTGTAAACCGGAGCTTGCATCTAGAAAAGATCCAGTTCTTTGGCTTTGACATGGATTATACATTGGCTCGTATGTCTATTTAATAACAGTTATAATTGTGTTTCTGTATTATAAATGTTTTGAGCTCGAATAGTTTATATAAATTTCAAAAATGCAGGTTCAAAGTTTTACATGTGTTATATAACTGAAATTTGCACTGTTTACTTATTACCCTGTTATTTATTTGTTGATATTAGTGAATGGAATCTCTTATATCTTTTGAGATGCTACCCAAAAGTTTCCAAGAATGTGAATAAAAAAATGTAACATCTGATATTTACTTACTCGATGTTATTTATGTTACTTACTTTGCTAGATGATGTTGCAAACAACCTTTCTAAATTACACTGTCATATCGAATCTCAATTTAGTCAACATATATTTTCAGGGTTTGTATGGTCCTTAAGAGTCCTTAAAAGTCCTTAGATTTTTTGGAATCAAATTTTGGTCCTTAAAAGTCCTTAATTTTGGCCAAAATCAGCAGAAGGTCCTTAATTTTAATCATCTTAAATTTCTGTCAGTTTTTACGACTGCTATTTTGAATGTGAATTAGCATTTGGGAGGAATATTTTTGGTGATTCACTGACATATATGGTTATCTTTTGAATGGGTTATAATTTGTTTCTATTTCTAATATAAGATAGAGGATACTTGAGTTTCTAAGCAAGAAGTGAAACATAAGCATTTCGAATCCATTTTTTCTAATCCGAGCTCTTAAACAATTTTCACTTTTGGGATGTGAATTCTTTTTAAACGTTCTAATTGGGCGATTTTAAGATCAGTTTCTATAGAAAATTTTAATTCCAAGATCTGAGGATTTTCACAACGATTTTTTAAAAACCTTGTAGCATTGATAAATATTCATTAAAAAAGTAGTATATTGAAATTATATTTAAAAATAACATTAAAATAAAACATTTTTATTTTTTGCTGTTATATTATAAAGTTTCATTTTGGCAACTTATTATACAATATTTTGAAGTTGAAAAATATAAACAAGGTATAATGCTATAAAGCACAATTTACAAAACAACTGTTAGCAAATGCAAATTTAGCTATATGTAATTACTTAAAAATGTCTTCTTTTTAATTTTTTCATAGTAAGAGTTTTTCCCATGTAATTGTCTCAGAATATTAAAAATTCTCAGAATATGCATCAGTTTTTTCTACCAAATTAATTTTACACTTTTCCCTAAATATTTCTGGCTTTTTGCTGTTACAGAATTGGTAGTATAAATTTTTTTTAGGGTTTTAGACATTGCAGCTTGGAAAGTTTAAAAGGATTTGAAGGCAAGATTTATAGACACATGACTGTAGAATGTTCGAGAACTATGTGACAAAACGAAAAATGTCTCCATGGTTTCAACACGTAATGTATGTATTTTACAGAAAGTTTGCAATGAATTTCTTACTTTTTGAAGAAGTCTGGAAGAACAATGAAAACATAATATTTGAATGTTTTACTTCTGATACTAGAATCTTTTTCTTAGCATCCCTTTATTTCTCTACTTTTCACTAGACATCACTTTCTATCTTCCCTTTATTTTCTCTATTTTTCACTGGACACAAGCATGGAAAATATCAAAAATGCTTCTAATCTTATCACATGGACAGGTATTATAGAAAGGAATTTTTTTATTAATAAAGAAATTGAAAACTTACAATTTAAAAGATTCATCTAATATGTCTTAATGCATCATACACAGAGCTGGTATTAGGCATTTTCCCACCTGATGCAATCTCTATTGATTCTAAATTCTGCTGCCTAGTGCCTTTCTAAATTCTGCTTCCAATGTCTGGTCTAAATTCTAAACGTTTTGCCCCTTCTAATTTTTGCTGTTTGGTGTGTGACTAAATTCTAAAAATTCTGCCACACCAGCTCTGTAACCAGTCTTTGTTATATATATTTCATATTTCTTCTGAGTAGCAGCACTAATGCTTTTGCATAAACCACACAATCCCTGCAGTGGGGACCTGCAGAACTACACACTTTCTCCCACTGAGGATAAATGCTGAACCATGTCACAGGATTCTCTCAACCATGCTCCACCGTGCAACAATGGTTCCATCTAAGCACATCCCCACACACATCCGCAGCCCATCAATCTCTTCAACGTACTGAGCTGACAACCCTACCCACAAGGCTGGTTCAGTTCACAGCGACCAATTGTATCTTCTCATATCACATTAAAAATGCTTGGAAGGGGAGTGTGTAGTGATCTCGAGAGCTAATCAAATCCTCACATTACAAAGTAATTTGAATATCAGAATCTGTCACACTGGAGTTCTTTTGCAACAACGATATAATATTCAACTGCCATATAACAGATCCAGAATCAAATTCCAGGGTTGCTATCATTTTCATGAGCATGCGAAACTTGTGCACTGCTATACTTCTCATTGGTGCTAATAGATGGCATCACTAGCAAAGGAACTGCATACCAAACAAGCATGCAATCCCTACACTTGCACAATTTTATTGAATCAGAAAAGTCTTGATGCATATTTTGCAAAAGTTCATGCTGGTTCATTTATGGGAGTACCTGATTCGTTCAACATCTGTATTACTGCTGTGCTATTTGTTAGCTGAAAGCTGGTGATTTTAATCTCAGCCATTCTTCTCAGTCAAGGAGGACAACTGAAGTTGATGACAGTAGGTAGAAATTTATTGAATCAGACTCTTATTATGTGATAAAAAATATTGCAAAACATTTAACATCTGTCTTTTAAGCATTCATGACAGCTTGAAGATGAGACATGTAAGGATACATAAGGGTTTTTTTGGGGGGAGGGTCTTACTAAAGAACCAGATGATCAGTTTAACTGTATACTGTCAACAATTAGGCATTTTGAATGAATCCAGAAGCATTTAGAGTGCATAAAGGAGTTGTGTTCCGTCATGACAATGTAAGACCACATAAATTTAATCGTCCATAAAAAATTATTGTACCTTGAAAGGGATATGTTCCCACACTCTTAAACTTCAACTACTGCATGCTGCCCATACTTTCTATGGAAATTCCTTAAAAACTATGAGCTACAAAAAGTATGAAAAACTACATAATTTACAGAAAGGTGAGAGGGAAATGGTATACAAAACCAACTTATTCATTCTATGACTGCTTAAAGACGCCTGACATCATGTATCATGTTATGAGAGTCTTGCTGGTTTTGAAGGGTAGCCATTTGTAAATCTGCAAATTCTCACTTAATCTTTCCATTCAAGCACCCTGCAGTGAAAATCGTTTTACCCTGCAGGTCATTCCACTCTGCTTGTCTAAGAAAGTGTAGCACATGCTTCTTGTGGGTTGTGATTAAACTAGAAGTTTATGAATTATGCCATCTGAAAGTAAGAAGCAAAATGTTAAAGTCTGATATTCTGGAGAATTTTCATATACAATAAAAGCTTGACTATTCAGAATGTTCGAGAAATGCCGAATTTCGCATGTGAATTTTTCGAATAGTTGAGCATATACAATATGCAGTTCGGGGTAGACATGTGAAAAGAGAATAAAATTTCTGGTCTAAAATTATAATATTCATCTTATTTGTTACCAAATTGAATATCAAAAGCGTAAAATCAAGATTATGTAAGATTTCAAAAAACAAAATTCTTGCATAAAATCCTTTGTATTTTGTAGGCCTTTCAACATATAAAATTAAAACATCATATCCAGTTGTCATCAACCATGAAAGTTGGCAGACGTGCCACCAAACTTGTACCGGTCATTCCAATAGAAGCTTAAAGGAAATCACCATTGTTTATTCATTTTCAAATAGTCAAATATCATGCTATTAAAATATGCTTTTGTTATCACTCATAACTTTGAAAATGCTCCATACTGTTCCATAGAATGGCGATCCCAAATTTTAAACATTTTTCAAGCCACAAGGAGAAACCAATAAATAGCCGTTAACTTATATTTTTTCTTTAAAAAACTAAACTGACTTATCGAGAATTAATCCGGTTTACATAAAACTTATTCAAAGATCTTATGATTGTGTTGTGACATTATGCTTATACATTACTGGTGCTAAATAACATTATTTGGCTACAGTTTTTTTTTTTTTTTTCTTTTTTTTTTTGGGGGGGGGTCAAAAATGGTCAACAAGAAAGGACGTTAAGTACCAAATTTTTTAAATAATTGTAATACTTTTGCCCAAAATGGATTTAATGGAACTGAGACGGATTTTTGTTTAATATTTTTTTTAGAATAAATAAAATTCTTAAATCAGTAATACATTAATATTGTACTGATACAGCCAACATTAGATTGAATAAACTGCAAATGTCTGTCTGATTCAGTGAAATTTCTTTTTTCTTCGTAAATCTCTCTCTCTCTAATGAGATGCAGTTCCAAAACTTCTATGTGTATTAAGAGTTTTCTCACAAAATTTCAAAAATGTTAAAAAAAAAGTTTCACTGTATCACCCCCAAGAAATATTTTTTCCTTCTGTTTCATCAGAATTTCTTCTTGGAACAATGTATTTTAAATTAAATCTCTTCTTTTAGCATTTCTGTTATGGCTAAATTTTTGTTGCATTCAAGTCATGACTGTATTTCAGGTCTTTCAAGCCTCGAAACAGATTCTTCAGCTTTGTTTCTGCATGTTAAGGCTTTTAATATGTTTATTAGATCTTGTTCTTTTGTTGTGAAACTGTCAAATTCTTCATCAGATGAATCTGAATAAAAGTTAACTGAAAATAAAATATTCTGCCATCCTTTCCCAAGAGTCCAATTTGTAACGGAATTCCAAGCAATGACCTCATGAATGACATTCATTAAAAATAACAACTGAAATTCTCTCAGGGAACTTTAAGCATTCACATGTCTGTTCATAAATTTTCCTGATAATCCTTTTCAAGTTTGGGGTTTTGGGATCCATTGATTAGATCAAATGTTAAGGAGAAGGTATATAGTTTTGATATTGCTGTAACATAGTTCCTTATTATGAGGATACACTCAGCAGTTATCTGTAAGAAAAACAACTTGACTGTCTTTGGCTTTTCAAACTTTGGCTCACTACAAATCACACAAAAATGCATTGAACCAGTAAAGAAAAAATACTTTCCATCCAAGCATTCTTTTGATGATTTATTGACAAGAAGATGTTTGTTACCTGCCAGAGCTGTAGAATGTTTGGCTTTTCCAGTCATTGATAATTTTATTCTGTTTAATCCAGTTGTAATTATGCCAATAAAAATTGTCAATCTATTCTTTCTTTTTTTTTTTTAAAAAACCACAAGCAGATGCTTCATTAGCATCTGCTAAAGTTGGCAAGAGTCGGAAAACATCAAAATAGCAGACCCATTTCTTCTGCATTATAAATATCTTTTAGTGCTATATCGTTTCTTTTTACAAAATCTTTAGAAAAAAAGCAGCTTATTCAACTGCACCCTTCCTATTGGCAGACAGTGTTTCATCCGATATATCGATCTTGCGAATTCTGTGATGTTTTTTGAAATGAGCAAGCCATCCATCTGAAATTTTGCAATCTTTCTCGATGTTTACCTTTTTGGAAAAATATTTTGCTTTTTGAATAAGCATTGTCTTAGAAAGAAGAAATCCTTCTTCTTGTTTTAATATAAAACACTCATATATACTATTTTGTTGAATTTTTAACACGTCAAGTGCTGCATTGGTCTCTTGGGACCAACAGTGAATTTTCTCTTTGCCAAGCATCAGTTCCTTGGGGGACGATCAAAGTTAAAAAATAAATGTAGTAATTTCAATGAAATTCATTAAAACCTATTCAAAAACATTTTTTGGCATTGTAGGTACTTGTAAAAGGCACAGTATTTGGCTGATTTCCTTTTGAGTCAAACTGTTCATTTTGATCACTGGTTTCATTCCATTGCTTGATATAACGAATTATCTTTCAACAGTGACAAGTGTAAAATCGATGATGAATGTAGAGTACATCATTTGCTCCAAGTACTGATTCAAATACATTTGCTCTAAGGACTGATTGATTACAAACTGTGTTATTTGAGTGTACCATATTATAGCAAAGAAAAAGGAGTAGTAATTACTGCAATGATTTCTGCTTTAAAGAATGCTCAAATAATACTGGAGAAGGTGTTTTTAACTGTATTAATCATTATTTTATAAATAATGGTTTAGAATGTGAAAATTCTTTATCATTTTCTTCAGATGATCCTAGTACTATTTTGAGGAAACACACCAACCAGTTTTAAGCACCTAAGTTTGTCCATATCACTTCTTGCATAACTGCAAAAAAAAACTACTCAAAAATTTATTGGCTCAGAAATGTTATTACAATATATAGATATATATATTTTTAGATAAAAGTTCAAAAAAGAAGTATAGCTTCAAATTTGCTTAGTAAATTGTGGGGTGGAATACACAAACTTGCTTAATAAATTTTGGGATGGAATACAAACTCTCATAACATTTTGAAATACTGCAGTGTAAGATGGTTTTTTTTCCTTGTAATATCTATAATAAGTTTTAACATTGGGATGCTCTGATTAGTTTTTTGGTGCTCAGTCAGATAATAATAAAAATGAAGGAAAGAGGTTGAAAAACATTTTTTAAAAAAAGTTATAATCACATACCGTCAAATTATATCCATTATTTTGAAGAAAACTTGGCTGTTATTCATAACTGTCAATATTAATTTACAACAGCAAGCTTCTTAGTTTAAAAAAAAAAAAAAACTGTTTCAACTTTTTATTGAATCTGTTAAATTCATAAAACCAGCATTAATTTTTGAAGAAAATGCTGGAATCAATCTGGCATGTAGTCCATTTCAAAATATTTCAGAAGTGCAATAAACAGAAATTGAAAATTTAGTGATTGATGCAGAAACAAGATTATATTTAAAAATTAACAAGTTGAACGAAAATGAAATGAAATTATTTTTTTAATTAAGAATGAGCTTTTATTTTTTGATTGTACTTTTATATATAATACCTAAGTTCCCTCGAAATGATCCATTTATAAAACGCACTTATTTTGCTGACTTTAATTCGAGAACTCTTTTATATTGCTGACTTTAATTCGAGAATTCTAAGTTTCTGTTCATCTATTCACTACATGGTGAAAACTTTCTTATCCATTATTGATGAAAAACATCTTGATCAAGTAAAAATTGAGTTTTCTATGTATCAAATAGATAATTTAAAAAGTTGCAGATTTGCATTTTTTTATTAGATCGAAAATAAATTTCAAAATTAAAAGATATGAATGGGTGCACTAAATGCAAGTTATTGCTTGTTGTAATGCCTGCACTTTTCCTAATATCTTATTCAAATGCATCCTATGAAAGAATTTATTATCATTATTGTTGTCATCATCGGCAAAAAGAATCGGACTGCATTTTGACCAGATTTAGGCATGATTATTTGTTTTTTTAAGATATTTTCTTCACAGAGTCGTAGCTAGGGTTTTCAGCGCCCAGGGACAACTGAAGATTTCGTGCCCCCTACTGCTTGTCAAGGATGGAAAACATTTAATTCTAAAATGTAACATCACTTTTGGTGCCCCTTGGATTCTGCGCCTGGGGACAGATGCCCCCCTCTAGCTACGCCCCTGTTGCTTCAATAATATATTAGTAGATTGAATACTTCCCTAAGAGAATTATTTTTAACTACTCAGTTTTCCAGTTGTATGTATTTTATGTTAAATGTAGCCCAGTTAATTAAAAAATATATACCTTATATGCACATTTATAAAGTTATAAAAATGTTGTTCATGCATTGACCACTGATAAGTTTTAGTGTGTATCTATGCACATATACCATACTTGCCTGACCTTACACCTTGAGACTTCCATTTGTTTTGGTCTCTTCAAAACACATTGTGGGGTGTAGCATTAAATTCTGATGACTTTTTAAATCATCTTTTTTTCTGATTTCGGCCAGTAAAGTCAATTTCTAATTTCTGCTGAGGTCTCTATGTGAATAAAAAAATAATGAAGCTCACTGAGAAATGGTAAAACATGATCAAACAAAAACAATCAATATATCATTGATTAATCTTTGTTCTTAAAATAAATAAGTGACATTTAAAAAGCGTTCAAAAAATATGATTTTTCTCAGTGTAATGCTCAAAAGGTTTTTAAATTACCCATAAAAATGTGATGATAGAAGGCATTACTATAAGTCTTGAAATTTTTGGGGTGGTCAGATGCTTTACTTTTTAAATCATATTTATAAAAATCAGACATATCAATTTCATGTATATTTATTGTACTGCTTTTAAAAGTGTCTAATTTACATAAAATTATAAATCTTCACGGTGATATAAATATTTTATTGCTAAGATTTTTTAGTTATTTAATTTGAAAATGTGACTTATGAGCTCGTAGGGCTTAAAAAGTACAGTTAAAAGTCGTTAATCTGGACTTCGGCGATTCCAAATTATAGATCATCAGTTTAAATCTGGTAAGATGGCATGCAGAAATTATAAAATTAAAAATATGAAACCGTAACTTATGAAATAAAGAACAATTATGATCTAAAGGGTATCAAAATTTACAAAAAAAAAAGCTTAATATTTATTTGTTTACTTTATTAAATATTTCTTTCAATGTAAGTTGTTTAAGTTGCTTCATTTTTCATGTGATAATACTTTCTCTTTAATTCTATAAACAGACATAATTTCTTGTTCAGTTGCAAAGTTCCACTGTTCAAGTCCTATAATTGCTGTGTTGAGAATACCGACTAATTTGTCAATCGAAATTCTTTCGTTTTCAAAGAAAGTGACCTCTGTGTCACTTTATTCGCTATCGGAAGCGAATTATAATGACGAGGAATTTGATTCAAATCATATCAAAGATGGAGTACATCAAGATGAATTACTACATTTAGTAAGGAATTATAAGCCAAATAAAATAAAAACATCTGCCCTGAAGATAAGGATAGTGCTGACAGATCAACTTCCAGTTCATTGCGCGCCGCGACGTTCACCCTCCCCCCCCCCACACACACAGAGCAGCGTGAAATTGATAAACAGATTTCGGAATGGTTAGATAAACAAATCCATTATCTTTTATCCATTTTTTGCAGCAATTCTACTTTTTGTTTAATGGACTTTGAAACATACTTTCACTTTGTAGATCCTTTGCATAGTAGTAAATATATATCAGAAATTCTATTTGACATAATCAAAAGTTCAAGCTTACTTTTATAAAATTGCTCTAACAGTTTGCAAATAGTAATAAGCCGGATCCAATTCGAAGATTAAGGAACAACGCAATCTGCAACATTAACTGAATTAGGTAATTTTAGCTTAGCGTATACCGTTCGTTATACATTAAACGCGCATTCGTAAACATATTTTGTGCATGCGCACACGCATATTCGCAGCCGTAAAGGACTTATGCGCATGCATCAAGAAAGTTTGTAGCTTTGAGGTCTGGATTATAGATCATTCCGGATTATGGGTGTCCGAATTAACGACTTTTGATTGTATTTGAAAAGGTTTTATCATTGCATTCAAATAAAATGATTTTGATTAGAGTTATTTGAAACCATGCTTATGCTTAAAAAGTGCTTTTTTATATTTCTAGAGTATAAGAACCCAGAATATGAAGCTCTGCAGTTTAGACTAATTGTTGATAGATTAGTTTTTACTGGATATCCATCACAGATTAAGGATTTTGAATATGATCCAGCTTTTCCTATAAGGTAAGCATAAAAATTTATAACTGTATTTTTTTTAATTCTAAGGTTATATGTATTTAACATGTATCTTGTAATTTCATTACAACCAATTAGAAAAAAGGTTTCATTAAAAAAGTGAAATAAAATGTTATAGTGCTTTTCACTAATATTTTTATTATGACAGAATTTGATTTGCTAATATGGATGCTTGATTTAACACTCATGGTAAGTGTATGTTCAACAATTTTCTTTTTGTGTGGAGAGGATCATTTTCAGAGTCTGGTTTTTGTCATCTGCCCCCTTTTTAAAATTATCCAGAAGCATATCATCATCTGGGTTTTGCTGAATACTGTTAATGCAGTATTTTTTAAGGGTTGAATCACCTAGAAAGAAAATTTTGAATGCTGTATGTAAAGTGTAAAATTTATAAAAGGCATGTTTCTAAGGGTTAGTGTAAAGTTGTTTAAATATTCCCAAGTTTGGAAGGACTATCTGCCTGAAGCAAAGATGACCGCTTGCATTCATGTTACACACGGGGAAAACCATGTATTAATCTCAGGCACTAGTGAGGCATATGGTTTTAAGAAAATGTTGATTTAAAAGATATGTACCATTTTTAGAGGTACTTGTGTGGTGGAAAAGTGCATCTCAGTATTTCTTTTATGAAGACATAACGTATGATATAAAAATTAAATTTTTATTTTTTCCATCCAATTTTTGTTTAAATTAGTGTTTTCAGACGGTAGAAAAATAATTAAATTCATAAAGGCAGGCTATTTTCATCAAATAAGGAGTGACAGGCAAAAAGAACTTGCAGTATATAACTGTAGTTAGGAAATGCAGTTAAATTCTTCACGGTCAGTTTCCAATGTTTTTAAAGATAATTAATAAATAGTAGCATCATAGTGTAGTTAATTATTACCCATTAAGAAAATAATGCATAATACTTGCACATTAGAAATAATAGTAGAATGTATTCTGTAATGAAATAAGTTATGCTGTGATTTTCCATTCAGTTTGAAACATGTTAGGTACTGATGTAGTGAATGTTTCGCTGATTGAGAGTTTTTAAGCTCTATGTATCAATATAATTCTTATAGTATAATGACCTGCAATGTCTGAGTTAACCGCTTCCCTTACAAATTTTTTTGAAAAAAATTGCAAAATATCATCACATTTTTTTATTTTATTATTAAATACAACAAAATGAAACAAATAAAAATATGTAGGTTTTAAGTTGAAGTTTTTAATATTTTGAAGGTGTAAAAGCATTTATTTGTAATATTAGTTTACTATCCCGAGTTATCTCGGGCAAACGGAAAAAAAGTTAAATATTAATCTTTGTATGATAGTTTTTGAAACAAGGGACAACACAGAGTGATGCCCGACATTCTACACTGGTATCTGGTCTCTTTTCTTACTGGCTTACCACTCGAATCTCTTTCACGGGAGCACAGAGTACACTGTCTCGTTGGATTTGATTTTTTTTTTCCACCTCTTCATAATTATTATCTGAAAAATCATCACTTTCGCTATCTTGCATCATCGTCATCATTTTATTTTTTTTTTCAATGCATGCATCCTTCTTTATACATTACTAATCCACAAGCCAACGTATACAATGCAATAGGGAAACTTGTGACCAGTTCCTCCAAAAGAATCGCGGAACCAACAGAATTTGGCAAATTGCCAATCAAAGCTGAATATTTCCTTTCATTTCCTCCAGACCGAATAAAACCGTGATAAAAGAAATCGTACTAACAAATTCTGCTTTGCCCGAGTTTTCTCGGGATAAGAATTAACTGCAATATATATGAACCCGAGATAACTCGGGATAATCAGGCAAGTGGTTAAATAAAATCAACTCTGAGATACCATAGCATTGCTATAACAATCTGAGTTTCATAAATCATCCTTAAAAATTTTGCCCAATTTAATTATTGCTTTTATTTATCTAGCATTCTATAAATGTCTAGAAATTTAGAAAGAATTAATTAACTTGTAAGTAAGTTTTTCTTCCCCCCCCAAAAAAAAAAACTCTCAGTAAAATGCACCTAATATATCGAATATTTTTACATTTTTGTCTACATTAGAATCAATATCAAATTTGAAATGTCATCCTTTAAGATGTTTCTCATTGATTTATGATCAAAATTTTTTCCATTTATTATTTTCCCATATATACTTTGCTTCCTTCCCTTCTTTTATAGTTTTTTAAGTTAAATCATATGATATAAAGTCACCCATAAACTTCGTTAATCTATGTTTTATAAATTTCTTGTTTTTATAAATTTCATTTAAGAATGGTAAAAAATATACATATTTCAAAATTAACTATTTTATTTCTTCATTAAGTATACATTAGAAATCTTTTGCTTAAAATTCTTACCAGAGCTGCCTTTCTGCTGGCACAAAATAAATTTTGCTCAGCTTATGTCAGAAACTGGTTAAAATTGAAAAGAGGTAACAGTTAATTTCTGTAAACTGGTAAAAACATGTGATAATGTTAATTAGTAAAATGTACGAACATATGAAATCATTTTAATGCAAGTTTTACATATATTAATTGATATATGGTAAGAATAAAAAATAATTATATCTTTAATTAGCATGTAAATGTAATTATTGGAAAGAGTAAACATTTCCAAATTGATTTTGTTGATATCTGCAAAATCATGTATTTGAAATGTATCTTTTTACGCTAAACAATAGAAAGTCTTTAAGCAGAGAACCCTCATATACTTTACTAGCTAAACAAAGAAAACAAATGTGAAAAATAGTTTATTGACTCGTGGCTCTTGTAAGTGCACTGATCAGATAAACTGAATTATTGAAGTTAATAAAATCATGGCTAATTCACCAGACGTAGCTTATCTTATAATTTCAGAAATAGTTTCATATTTTGTAAGCAGTTTTGTCAAAAGGGAAGATTTAATGTAAATTGTTGAATTTTTAATGTTGTTACTGTATTTATTCGAATCTCAGCCACCATTGATTCTAAGCAGCACCCCAGATTCTCATCACACTTTTATAAATAAAAAAATTTTTAAATATAAAAAGGTTTATTGATATCTGATATTTACGAAATTAAAAAAAAAATTTAAATGCAAACTACCAAGAAGTGAATGAGTAATTTATTTTACCGGTATACAAAAAGTTTGGTATACAAATCATTGGTTGATAGATATAGCTTTTCTTGTTGATATGTTTAAAAACGGAGTTGCATTAAACAAAGAAAAATATGATGAAATAATGAAACTCACTCCAAGAACCAAATGTTACATTCATGTGTTACCCGTTTGGCAATGTTGATGTGGAAAATATAACTGAAAATATAAATTATATATTCTCTTTATCTCTTGAGAAAAATGAAGTTTTTCTTCTCCAGAATGACATAATTTTAAAAGCACATAGTTCAAAACCTAAGAATAACTTTTGGATGAAGTAAAGTATCCTAATTTAAAGAAAAAAAAATGTTGCATTTTAACATCATTCATGGGCTCTACCTACCTGTGTGAATCTGCATTTTCAACGATGAATATAATTAAGACAACATTTTTTTTCTGTCTCGTAAACAACCACTTAAAATCCAGTGCAAGGTTAGCAGTTAGAACCCAGGCAGCATGCATTCGTAAATTGTGTGTGAAAAATACATGCAAATATATAAATGGCCCTTCATATAAAAAATGAAAAAGTGTCCAGGGAAACAATAATAAATATTTAAGTGTATTTTTGCATTACAATATCCGTAAAATTTATGTATTTTCATGCAAATTACCGTGCTTTGTGCGTAGTGTTTACGTACATTTTAAGGATTTTCATATATTTTTGGTGAACATGTGCATATATTTACCCTAAATACGTAAATCTTCCCATTTTTTTACTTCGTATATTTTTAGTCAAAATTTACGTTAAATCTGCACATTTTATTTATTTCTTTTTTCTTTTCAGAAACGTATACTTTACGCAGAAATTTATGTAAATGTTCCCTATTTTTTACTATGCATATTATGCATAACTTTTGGTAAAAATTCATTTTTCATGAATTCTACATATATTTTCAAAAAACTACGTACATTTTTTTAATACCTTATTTTTATACCACATACGTTTTTCCAAGTCATAATATGTTTATTTAATACCATATTTCTATCATTATATGCAGATAATACATCCACATTACGAATGTAAAAATGTCATTTCAAAGTCATAAAAGATTTTTCATAGACTGTTGCTTTTATTTACATAGAGATAAAATAGAATATATTTACCAGACGTAGTTAAACTTCACAATATTTAAAATACGCTATCCACACATTTTTCCCCTGCATGTCCTGAAATCTCCCATAGTTTGTTAAATGTGATGAGCTAAAATAAGAAATGCAAAAGTTGTTCATTAAGTAAATCAGTTTTCTAAAAATACATAAATTTAATATTGTAGAATTTTATATTAAAGGAATTACTGAAGAAAATCTAAATAGCTTAATTATTGAAAACTATAAATTTTTATTTAAAAAATTCATATTTAGTATTCTTTATTAAATAATCAAAAAAACTAAGCAAATTTCAAAAATAAATTACTTTTATATGTTTTAACCAACAAAAAAATAAAAGTAATAAGGGATACCTACCTTACCTTTTTTTTCAGATTACGACTTTTGTGTAATGCACATTCAATAAATATATACTTGTAGTTTTCACAGTCATTCTACCTATGTATCTAGCTTTATGAAATTTCTTCTTTATTAATGATCATTTTATTTATGTAATTTTTTTTATTTAATGTATCACAACTAATGCTGTTTTCAAGATATAGTGAAACTTAATAGGTTTTTTTTCAGTCATTTTAAAAAGTATTTTTGTGGAGCTAATGCTATAAATATTTTGTGCATTGAAGAATAATATATACTAATTGATATAGTATATATGGCAGTGTCTAAAATTTTGGTTTGTTGTCTCATATAAATTGAAAGCCAATTTAAATTAATAATAATAAAGGATGCATAAATTAGAAATAGCAACTG